TCTCGTCACATTTTGCCATTTCGCTTACTTGACTTTGTGTTTACTGCCTTCATCGTTCAAATGTCCACAATGTCATACAGCGGAGTTGTTCTACTTCGTATCGAAATAATTAGTATTATTTCCAGTGTGGGAAATCTCATCACACTTAACGTGTTCGCGATTAAACTCATTGTACGTTTCTAAGCTTTGGGGTTCTTACATTGGGTAGGGGGTAAGCTATGTTTGTTGGGATCACTGTTATAAGGTCCACTATTTATAATGATGATGAAAGACTATAAACGGAAGAGAAAATCCAGCATTCATGATTTTGTCGTTCCTGAAGATAGGAAGTAGTAGCAAAGATTATGCTCGCCAACAGCTGCCTTTGGGATATCAGACTGTTTTGAACGCCAACGTCATCATCAGCTTCATCTGTAAATTGTGAAATTGGTCCTTGGTCAGAGCTAGTGTATCACTTATACAGCATGTTGATCGGCTTACGCTTATGTCATATGATTTCCTGGGCTATTTGGGCTGTCGGTGATGAAAATGAGGAGATAAGCTCCTCAAATGTGCTGTCAACCTTGGAGCTTGAGAGATGGTCATTCATAGGTCACTTTTATTTGCACTAGTGCACTTGTGCAGGTCAGTTTAGGAGACGAAGCAAACTGGAGTCTTGGCTAAGATAAGTGGCGCCTCATTCAGAGATGCCCTAGTTTTCTTGCAACATGGCACAACACAAAAGACCAAAAACCTCTCGCTGAATTCAAAGTGAGAGGAAATTATTTCGTTCCTTTTAAAGGTTGTTTTTTCTTGGATTATTCTTTCAGAACACGACTAAAATGAAAGTGGCGACTCAAGTTTCTTTCCTTTAGGTGCTTATGAGTAGTCTTTGTATTACTCAGGTTAACAAAAACCAGGAGCGAAGCAATTTTGGGACATAATGAAAGGTCTGCGTGGTTCGAAACGAGCTGGAAACTGTCCTGCCAGAATAACAGAGATAAGGGGAAGCACATATGAATTTCAAGTCAACACCGTCTTGGTTTGCAAATAAGTCTTTACCCAGATGTCTGATTCAGTTTTTAAGTACAAAATGTGAACAAGGAAATTCGAGGGGTACGCCTGATAAGTCCCAAAAGAACACACTTGTGGCGGGTGTCGAAGGAATTTTATTGATGTTAGAATTCGTTTGGCTAGAAAGCCCACTCGGAGAGGAACATTGTAGAGCTGTTATTCAATGAGAGACCACCTGAAAGGACCGAACAACAGCAGTATTTTTTCTAAGGTGATTTCTCTTTATGTGCGCCCTAAGTGACCAGACAATTTCTTTTGGAGACAAGTCTCTGAAAAGTTCACTTTCAAGGAGAACAGCTGTGTCTACCTTGAGTCAAGACACCTGACTGAAATGGAAGAATTTGTATGCCACCCCACAATGGCGGTTGCTAGTCACTAGCTCTATAGACGTTCTGTCAGGAAGTGCTGGCATATTTAGGGGAGGAGGCGTGTTCGTTTGGGGGAAAATACCGGCGGAGTAAAACCCAAGAATGCTGCTGAAAGTACATACTCTACTAAAGTGTCCGATTACGAGCATGTTCACACTTGTGGTTGATCCGTCTTCAAGAAAATTTGTTGTATTTTGTATAGAGCTGTCACCCTGCCTACCAAAGAAAAAAGATCCGAGTGGGTTGATGCTGAGCGCAAATGATACAGGGCATCGACCAGTACAGCCAAAGGACCTACCAGGAGGATGGCATGCAAATGTAGTGGAATGAATTACTAAGACGTAAACGACAGCGTGGGCCACTTTACCACACGAAGATCATGTACCGAGTTCAGTCCTCTAAAACAATTGAAGAAAAATTCAGTTAAACGTCAAATGTTTCGAAACGAGAGTTGATAATAGCCTCTGTGGTCTGTAGTGCAAAGAAAGTCAGGCAACTGTATTTTTCGTTTCAGTGATTCTCACAGGATTGTCTTCACTTAAAACACAGGAGTACTAATAGGGTGAGAGTTTTGGGTGAACTCTACATTGAATATGGATCTGACTGATAGCGGTTTCACATAAATTCCGCAGTCTTAGATCAACACACTACCCTTCCGGAGAATTGGACGGCTATTCCAGGCATCCGTTGTCCGTGAATATTTCTGAAAAAAGCGAGTCGAAAAATGTGAAACAGCTCCGGTCGTTCGATGATGTATCTTAAAATTGCGTTTTGGTGGCAGTATCGATTCCGCTGACATACATATATATTGCCAATAAGCTTTCCAAATGAAAACTAGTAGTATAGTATCAAGTTACTCAGTGTCGTCGCAAAAGAAAGTGCACACTTCGCGAAATACGTTCATTTAGAGCCGTATTTGGTTTCCAGTTGAGATATCGTCCTATAAGTGGACCATGTCTGTGCTAAAAAGCCAAAAAGGAATTTTCAACTGTTTCATTTTCATTAGGAATCTTCTCAAAAAACCCTACAGAGTTTCAGACTAGCGGCCATGGAGTAAGTAGCTCAAACATGTGATTGTTCGGCCATAAGCTACTGATAAGCACTCTAATTAGCTCGCATTAAGAAAGCACATATCGTCACTTGACCTTCAATCACGGAGTCCAAATCACTGGGTCGTGCGCCGACTGATTTCCCGATGAAAGCCAGTCGAGATGAAAGTTTTGCTCGTCTCGTTAAATTGTTGTTCTACTTAGCTACTTATGACTTTTGGTTTGTGGTTTGATTCTAACGGAAAGCCCAAAATAAACCTTAGCTAAAAATCACCTTGCGATATTCTCCAACTGAATGCGCTGCACAAAGGCCCTCTCATGCTTCACTTGAGACGATATTCAAGATATCGCAACCTTACAAATAGTGTGTTCCCTCTGAACGAATGCATACTTTGTCTTATCGTTTTTCCCCCATCTAGATATGCCTTGTTTTAGGGCTTGGAAGGTAGCCTACGCAAACGGTGAAAGGCGCGAAATCGAACAAACGGGGTTATAAACCCATTTCAACTGTAGAGGACTCCAGACCTCCAGAATTCGCAAACAGTCCGCCAAGGACTGTTTCCGTGATCAAAGTGCAATCAACCACAGACAAATTTAGTGACTATGAGAAAGCACTCACGAAGACCAGGAATACTCAACCTCTCCAGTGACCAGCAAAATCTAAATATTTTCGTACTTGTGTTTTTTTTCAGATTTTGCCAAGGAGAACACTTGTGGCTTCACCAGGGTGTTTGTTTACAATTGCAACCTGCTTGCAGCGACGGACAAACTCTTCAGTATTTGAACCAGTCCGGGCGATTTGCCTCATTGTGCCATTTCCAGGATGAGGTTTTTTATTTATACAATACTGTGGTGGGGCAGTCGATCTCCCCTTGACCATAAACTCCAATAGAAATCTTTTCTGCGTTCTTTCTAAGCCCATTTCGGTTGCTGGCCACCAGCTACCAGAGATTTTAGGGTTCTTCCCCAGCAAAACCCAAGAGAACACAACTCAATTCTAGAAAGCATCCGAAACTATCGGAGAAAACTTTGGACTCCTGTGACTTCCTAGTAGGACATTGGGCAGACGCCCACAAAAAAATTCACATAAGACTGAATCGGACCTCGAGTTGAATACATGTTCCAAGTATGCTACCATGGTTCAAATGTGAGCAGGACTTTTCAGTAATCTAAGGAGGAGCCGATGTTCGGTCCAGGCGTCCGAACGTGTTCCCCTACTTTTTCAGGCGAAATTACCTCATTCGAATGTGCGAAGATTCAAACAGATACGTGTTTTGCTTTGGTCAACCACTTACCAGACGACGACCGCAATCGATAGATGTCGGAAACTGTCCGTTGTTTCTAAATCTTCTTGATGATTAGATTGATGAGCCAAGAATACAAGGCTCTGCTAGGTGATCGTTTAAGTAAGGGCAGCAGATTCTTCATGTTCTTATCCGGCAGCAAACTATATTATTTAGAATATTTGAAAATTTTCTTGCACTTCGACTTTGTTCTGATGCTGTTCTCACTTGATGGTAAACGTGGCTTCCGGTACATATTTTTATCGTTGCTTACTTCAACTAGTACACTCCAAGGAGATCATTCTTAAGTGTATCCAACTCCTAGATAAGACCACTTCTGTTTGGTCGCTTGAAATAATTTTTCATTAGCAAAACCACCCAAAAAGGAATCCTTCTAGCTGGCATCATCGTAGGAGGACATCTTCGTTGTAAAATCAATCAAACACACGTACCACACGCACGTATTATAAGTTAGTATACTGATTTTGTTTCCGAATCAATGAACTGTCATTCTTAAGAAACAACTTCGCTTTGGATTTTAGAAACACTGTCCTGCTTTATTTTACGGAAGATTTTTCCGCCCGCACAAGTGTTCACACAAGTGAGCTGAAATCTTGATGTCTAAGAAACACTAGAATGCGTGCGTCTGGTTCTATACCAGCGACGAGTTGGTCGAACCGTTTGCGTGACTTGTTGTCACGATTTCTTTGCTGTTCACTTGTTTGTTCTCGTAGCCCACTGATATTGATCATCCTTTCTCGAACTGTTCGAAGCCAAGGAAATCAATATGTCAGTTGCTCTTCTCTTGATAGTCCAAACTCCGATGAATCTTGGCGTTTGTGATATCGGAGAATTATTTCCTGCCCCAGATAGCGATCGACTGCCGGTGTTGTCAAAGCACTCGCAATAACAGCCAATCAGAATTTAGCTCTAGGTAGCCAGGTTCACGTTGAAAGTTGATTGGCTAAATGAGAAGCTGTAGGGGTGAAATTTCTACGCATCCGCTGTCTGTCAAGTGAGGGTAGGCGGTGTGCGGCAACTCGATACCCTTACTACACGGTAGCGTCAAACAATGCATCCGTGTGTGGTACGGTAGTTACATCGTGGAGTTCACTTGTCTTCTCTCAAGAAAAGACTAACAATAACGCAGCGTAGCTGTACACCCAAAAAGGTCAGAACAATTTGCTCCACCTGCCCTCCGAATCGCTCATCTGCTTAAAGTAATTCCTTGTGACGGATTTCACGATATGATGACAATGCACCCAAATTATTACGCAACAAGGAATGATGCACGCATTGCTGGATCTTTGCTTCCGACCCATCTTCAGTCCTTTACACAACACACTGCGATTTCCCAACATCAATCACACAGTATTCAAGACCTGTTTCTTCCTCCACTGAGAACAGCTATTAGCGAACAGGTGCATTCTACGGACGATATGGAACCGACGGGTCGCCCAACAATTCATGATAATTACGAAAAACAGGCCGAACAGAAGCGTTTTCGGCATATGCAGAGTTGCGATGGAGCTCGCTTTCACTCAGTCAGCAGTAATTCTACAAAGGATTGGCTAGCATCGCAGGAAATACAAAATTTGTCCCATAAAACCGGTGAAAAATCACTCCCTTCCCCTACTCACATTGCACACGAAAATTCGTCAAGTCCTTCTAGAATACTGGGTGGTGGTCCTAACAATTCGAGCCGACAGTCGCCAGCAGATTCTTCTCCTTCGCCAACAAACCACCCCAGTTTGTCCGAGCTAAATAATTCCCTCACATCCAACCGACGAATGCCTGAATTTACTTCCATATCTACACCCTCTCGCAACGGACCGAAGGAGTTGGACTACCTCCTGGCAGCCAACGCAGCTGCAGCCCTGGTTAGCCAACTTGGAGGGCCAAATGTGAATGGCCTGAACACACAGTCCAACACAGACTCCCTAACGATGCCTATGGGGGAGCTCACCGGAAACGGCCTGAAGGATTTGACTGTGGATCGGAGAACGAACTTTCACTTTCCTTATGATCACCAACCTCATCACCAGTCATCCGTTGTGAGTGGCAGTGCTCCCGTCCCCGGAGTAAATGATGGCAAGTATGGTGTCCCGAACTCGATGAAACATGCAAATTCCCCGATGCTGAATGCATTTAATGCCACTAGCTTAATGCACCCTTCCATGGTCTCGGCCAGCTCATTTACAAATCCCCTACTCAGTCGGGCGCATTCTTTCCAACCACAGGAAAAATTTTCTCCCTATGATGCACCATTTCCAAGTCAGCACGGCGCCTACCCGATCACACCTTCATTTGCCTTCAATCCACACTTTGTCCAACGCACTCACTGTTCCACTTTTGCACAAAGTCCATCAAAATTCGGTTCTAATCTAAGTCTGAGAGATCCCAACTATCACGCCTTATTGAACACGAATCCTGCCTGTTCTGTGGCGGCGTTCCGACCCCTGCTTCATTCAGATGGTTTAACTTACTTGAGCGTACCATCGGATGCTGTGCCACAAATCTCAACAAGTCTAGGTGTCAGTCTTGACGCTATTCAGTCCGGTCAGTTGGACCACGTATCGCCGAGAAACGGAATGAATGGGGGCGGGTGTACAACTCCTACAGGGCGGACCGGCTCCGGAACCACAGAATCTGGGGTAGTGGTTTACCCTTGGATGAATCCGAAGGGAACTGGTAAGTCACACTGGCGTGTTTCAGATGTGTTTCGTCCATAATGTACTTCCCACTGGTTCATCACTTGTTGTAGCGCACCCGCTAAACAGGCTCAAGACTGTCTGGCCAGTCTATATTCACTTGTTACACTGAGCGCGTTATCTCTGAATCATGACTTGTCAAGAAACTCAAAACATGTTCTCCTACCAACATGTGGCCTATTTCCCAAAGTTCTGTCATGACCAACAGTTTCTGGCACATTTACAACCAAAGTGGTTTAGCACAAGCACTAAAATTTCTTGACCGTCCCAAATATTGACATAAATAGTAACAGTACGAAATCTTGTGCCTTCTGTTGCTCTGACCTATCGATTTATTGACTTGCACGAGGCGTGGCGCAGTTTGCGATTCAGTCTACGGCATTCGCGGTACCGTGCGGTTACTTTCATCTGGCCGCTTGACATCAAAGCTCGTCAGAATGTCAGAAATCGCATCCTTATAAACATTTCGATCGTCCACACCAGTATAAGTTGATCGATTACATAAACAACCTGGTCGCAATAATTTTCAGGTAACTACACCTAACCACAGTTAAAAGTTCATGCCAAGTTACGCTGTCACCAAATCGGCATCGCTTGCTTTTTTTAAGATCTACTGGCGCCAGAACGGGATTTCTCGGTCATTTTACACTGGTTTTGTCCCCAAATGGGTTGGTAAATTGGTAAATCACTTGTGACCAGTTGACAAGTTGTCCGGTATTTCACTTTGTACGCAGTCTATGTGAAGGTGTGGGACACATACGGGCTGAAGTCCACTGGAAGTGCTGGTTTGTGTGGTTCCGATTTCTGCTAGATCATTTTTCCAGAATAAAAATTAGCACTTCAAGGATATTCTTGAGGTGGGTGTTTACAAGCATTTTTTGACAATACAAAGTATGGTATTCGGTGTCCGGAATGACTTCGAAAAATTGCAAAAATGACACAGATGCCTTGGAGCTTTGGTCACACTTCATTAGACTAACTTTTCTGATTGTCACTTCTGAAACGCAGGGCTATATGGCGGGTCGTTAGACAAGAAGTTCTATTATTCAGATTCTGTAAAGGATATGTGAACTATTGTTTTTTTCCAACCAAGAACGCCTTATGTTCCTCCGTGAGTGCATGCATTAGCGGTGCGACAAAACATGAGAATACGGATTCATGGACAGGGTTGCTAACATAGTGAGGGGTTGCTTCTGTGAAGACTTGGCCGTATGAATTATGAGTTGCAATCAACAGTAGCTATCTGACTTTACTCCTGGAGGCAGAATACTTGCGCTCATATTTATACTGCCTTCGCATGCATGGAGTTGACCATCAGCAAAATAATTAACTGAAAAAACCGCTTCAGCCTCCAGCTAGCTCAAGCTGATTCTCGCTAAATCATCAAACTACTTCCAAAACTGACAGATTGCTGACCAATGTTGAAATTGATTGTCCTGAAAATGGCTCTCACAGTGCCAAAATTGGTAAGAAAAGGGTAGTATTTACTTAGTGGTTGGATTGTCATATGTTGAAGGGCATGTGGAAACGGCTGCATCGTCGTTCAACCGAATGGACTCCATCTGAAATCTGCGAGGACTATTCAAGTTCAATAATCTCATGACAGAATTTTGTCGGCCCAGCTCAGCTATCCTAATCTTTCAAAAGAATTCTGGATAAAGTTGGCTTCCAATCTGTTTTCCTATTTTTAGTCGAATAAGAGGTAAGGATTTTTTTACTGGCTTGACGATTTGCAGGAGCCGGCTCGTTATTTTATTTCAGGTTCTAATTTTAGGTTTACTGTTTTGGTTTGCCTCTTTGTGAACCCAAACGTACTGCGGTATTCGATCATGAGCATACAGGTACAGGCGTAGAATGATGAAGAAACGCTGGAATACTGGTATACAAAAGGTTAATATTTTAATCCCGGATGAAAGTTATTCAGTTTCAAGAACACTCCCCACAACTTGGTTATTTTACCCATGGAGGCTGTCACCTGACCGGGAAACCAGTACCACCATTCAGTATTTGTTTTGTTCACACGGAACGTGTTCTAGTGCAGTTTGCTAGTGAGAAATGTGCCTAACCTCTCTGTGGCCGTTCCGCATTGTGATGTCTGAATTACTTGGTAAAATGCAATAGTAGATGGGGCATAAAGGCCAACAAGGGACAGAAGACTTCGTCGGCTTCTCCTGGAAGGTGGAATCTTTTAGAAGGGTACCATTCAAATCCAAACTCGGCAGACCAGCGTTGCACAACTCGTTGTGAGAACTCCCAGAAGTCAGAGAGAATATTCAGTGGTCTTCAGCTAAGTATACTCAATGGTATGTACAGGGTTCGACTCGCTCAAAGTAACTTTCACTCTCTTTCGTCCCTTCAAGACAAACTGTGTGATCTACTAGACTGCCAGAACGGGATTCACCAACGTCATTTCTGATTTTATGCTTGTCTGAAAAACGTATTCTAAAACACCCCAATCAGATTCTCCACTGACTCTCAAACTGCTCCTGGAAAAACCAACAATGTTGCAGTCTAGAGTTGACATAGCTTATTGAAAAATCACACTAAAAATAAGTGCTAATCCCGAATCAGCTTAAAGTATTCCACATGTCATGCTGTCAATGCCATCTTTTTATAAGCATCAGCCCAAGTAGACTTTGGCCATCCGACAGAAGAACAGAGGTACAGCAGGAGTTATTATTGACTTATATTTACTTGTGTCGGTGCGCAGTGGTGATGCAACAGTGATGATGCACACACGAACGGTGTCCCCACGAATGCCTGCAAGCAAACTACCATGCTTGGTGAACAGAGCAACCTTCATCTGATCACTGGTATGAAAGAGAGATGCACATCAGCACCGTAATGTAGATGAATCAGGATTTACACACAATATCCGTGGCTACGCAATAAACAACCTACTTAACTTTGATCAACGCGAGGAACTCCCGTAGGTCCCCTAAACCTTTTTTTTTGGCAATTTTCAGGTTGTTCGGTCTTAGTGCTGGCACTTTCAATGAGTGCCTCTGCTCCAACAGTTATCCCGTAAACTATGCTTTAGAAGTGAATATCACCAGATGCAAAGAACTCAGGTGTAGGCATATTGCAACGTTCCCTTCTTGCATGAAACACCAATCACTAGCGCCTCACTTGTTTCTCGATTTCACATATCTAGAGGTTCTGGTCAAAGCAAGACTGAAAACAGAGAGGAAACATGTATGAACTTCACATAGCGCGTAATGACATAATACAACGTCTATCATGTTTCTTTTGAAGCCATAGCTGCCTCAGCTGATACCAAATGCACGTGATCTGTTCACTACATTTTGTTGATCAGCGCTATTAAAAATATGGGATAAAGTTGTGGCTGTCAGAAGTGACTGATCTGAGTTTCGACTGACTTCACTCATCTTTCAAATTTCTGCTGTTTTGGAAGACCCCAGCTGCCTGTTGTTGGTCGATCGGTCTGTGACAAGGGATAACATCCACCACGTTCACTGACTTCCGAATTTTGTCTGCTGTTTGCCCGTGGTAAGGAGCTACCATCTATCTGAACAGCAGCAACCGGTTAAACAGCAGGGTAGATGATACATTCATTTTGCGGCGATAGCACAATGTGAACAACTTGTATGAGCTATGCGCCCAACCGCAAGCCGGCAGCCACCCCTCATGTTTCTGAAAACCTGTAATTTCGCTTAAGGGCGCATAATGGGACCTCCCGCCAACCACGATTCGGAAGTGAGAGGTCAAATGGTTTCTTCCTTCGTCATTCCTGAGGAAATTAACGTGTTCCGGATCTCATTGCGGACTAAAGGGGAACATAAGGAACCTATTAACTGTCCAACAACCAACCGGATAATTTGTAAGCGTTCATCATCTCACGAACCAGAAACAGCGAGCATACAGAGCAAGGAGTAGTTAGATAAGGAAGGATACAGAGTTATACCTGTGATCTACATCGCATCATAGCATTGACCAAAAGTACCTAGTGGTGCATTAGAAAGAGCTCTCTACTGGAAAAGTATTGACATAAACCGTTGAGGAAACCAGATGTAATCCCAAAACTGAAATGAAAAGCTACGATTTTTAAGTTAACTGGTTCGCTGAGGCACGATAAAGTAATGAATTGCTCTGTAGTGCATGCTTTAATTTTAGTCCTATTCACATTCATATCTGGGATGATCTGGCTGGTTCAAGCCAAGAGTCAGCAATATTAGAACGAAAATGCAGTCAATCACCAATACAACGTCACGTGACTGTCTTGAGTTGAGGTTTTTACTGGTTTGCAACCTTTGGTTTGATCGTAAAAAGCCACGATCTCGCTGGCAGCTGAACAAAAATTGAATTTTCAAGTTTTTGCAAGATAATCGTTTATTAGTATTTCAAATTTATCTCGAATTATGTCCGAAAAATCACATTCACCTGCAGGATGGATTTTATTTCCTACCCAAGTAAAATGAAAAAGTATCTCAACATGCATTATGGTTATGAATGTAATCCTGGACTTCAAGCGTCGTTCGCTTCATGTCAAAGGCAAATCATGTAGTAAAGAAGCGTCTCGAGATAAATTTTGCTTCAGTTTTGGGAGGACTGAACTAATGCTCGTCAAAGTCAGCTGTGGGGTTGAAGGAATTGAGGAGAATAGAATAGTTTTTTAGTGAAAGCAAGCACCTTTGTGTTAATCTTTCAATAGAAGGTGGTTTATGCGGAGAATTTATTATGTATTCTAAAATTCTGGTGGCCTATAGAGTGGTAACGAAGTGTTTGCTATAACTGGCTGAAGTGGTATTTGTTTTTATTTGGGGGGGGGGGTACAAGAAACAGTATTGTGTTTATTCCGTGTGACCTCGGTGTTCTTCAGTGTCTTTGGGCATCTATTAGTTCGTAAATATGGGATGGATTTATGTGTCCAGTCACAAGGTTAATGACCGGTCTGAAACTTCGCATATATGCAATCCGTAATAGTCACCAGTCAACGGGAAGGTGTTGTGAAAAATATCC